TCTTTTTAAAAATAAAATTTCATTAAAAACTTTGAAGCTTTAAATTTTATCAAGCAACAAGTGATTGAACTGCAAGAAATCCAAATCAAATTATTGTAAAAGATCAGGTTAAAAAAAATGGGGTTTTTATTAATTAAAATTAAGGTTGCTTTCCAAAACCTCTTAGTGCCTGTCAAAACTGTCAAAACTCTAATGAACAATTAGTAATATACCTTGTCAAAACTATGACAATTGACCAAACCTCCAAATGCAAAACTCTGCCAAAACTCTAATTAACAATTAATGTGTAACCTGTCAAAACTCTGTCAATTAATTTCTGGTGGAGTTTTGCCCACAACCTTACTGTATATATACACTTTAATCAACTTTAAATTCATTTGATTCCATTTGAAGCTAAATTTCTCTCACTCTAATTAAATTATTTTGTCTTCAATTGTGTAATGATCTTCAAACCAATAAAATCAGCATAGTGGATATTTGCATATTTGGTAATGATTGCAACAATCACATTTTGATTCTATCACATAAAAAAGAATTTTGATTGGACTGGATATCATTACTAAATAAGCAATTGGGATAACTATATACCAAAATCGTGATTTTGAGTTAACAACACTCCTATGTGTAATTTGGTACAAGGATTAATTTTAGTTTAGAAACAATACCCACTTTACTTAATAAAATTTCGAGATAATTAAAGAAAACTTCAAGACATACAAGAACCAACAAATTGGTATTATACTAAAACAAGTAATGATAAACCTAAATCCGGAAATTTGGTTCAAATCATGTAACACGAATTTATTAAATGAATTTTGTTATTAATAATAATAAATTTTGTTATTATTTATTCTTTTTAATGGATTTTTACCCTTGATCACAATAATCTTTGTAGAAAATTTAATATCACTTTGTTTATTATAGCTTTATTATATTACTTGAATAAAAAAGCCCTTCTACAGTGGAAATTACTTGATTGCTGAATTTTTTATTGCCATGTAGATATATACTTGTATTACATTATTTGAATCAAATGTCCAATTCGCAATAGATAATTGGTATGTCACCAAATCACGTGATCCTTTAATTTCTCCAAAAATGGAATTTAACCAAAAAAACAAAAAACAAATTATAGTTCAGTAGTTTGAAAACCAAGATCCTCTACAAAGTTACAATTTCATTTGTTGATATGCCATGTTACCATGGAAATAATCAAGCCTTGGAGTTGCACATGCTAAAATTGGCAATTTTTTTTATGTAACAACTCTTTAAAGATGTGTCACAAGAAAGGGCAAAGCACGGGAATTACGGATGATGCCTGTCCCTTGTTCTTAAATTTAGAAAAGGATAGGCATGGGACAGGTAATTTGTGATAAAACATAGAGAGGACAGGTGAAATCAAGAGACAGGTGTAGCAAATGTGACCGACCATAACTGTATTGAATTGTAAAATATTGAATTTAAAAAAATACTTTCAGCACTAAATCAACATTACCAAAAAAATTAAAATCAATAATGCTGCCCTGATAATCTAATAAAGATTATCAGAAATTAGTGGATTGATAAAAATATCATTTATTATTTTTAATATATGATTTTAATTGGTTGAGAAAGTCATTTATTGTGCGAATTTTTTGTTTACAAACAACAATGTTAATGATAACTTTACCACTTGAGCTTTTAACAAAATATTTAAATACAATAAGGATGATTATAAAACATTGTATTCCTGCATCCTTATCAATAAACAATGGCAAAATATTAATATTCCAATTTTATGGAGAGATCCATTTATTTTTAAAGACAGCACCAAAATAATAATTAATTGTTTATTAAGGATTTCTTAACAAAAAATAGCATTAAATTGACTTTTGAGCTATTGGATAAGTCACCATTATATAATTATGCTAGATTTTCTACTATAATTTCTTTCCCCAGAGGTTATGATTCTCATTTGGTGTCAAAAGCTTCTGAATCAGAACTCCTTCAGCTGTGAGGAACAATGCTAGATCCTTTTTGTTCTCAGCAACATATATAGGATCATTATTTACCAAGAAATCAGATCGTATGAGATTCACAGCACTCCTAGTATTGGTATCATCTTTCAGAAGGGACTCCTTCATCCTTATAAATGTAGAATATTCTAAAATCTCATTTCCGAGTAAGAAGACAGTAAAACGTTCCCATATCTCAAAGCTAAGATGTGTTCCATTTTCTAGTACTGGGAATAGCTTTCTAAAGATTGCACGCCCACAAAGGCAGACAAGGCCAGCATGTCTGTTAAAATAGAACAGAGTAAGTTAATCAAGAATTTCAGTAAATATGCTTTTACATGACTATAGTCACTTACCCATTTGTCTGCATATATATGTCATCAATAACCTCATGGTCAATAGTCAGTTTAAATTCATCCACAAACTGCTTGTATAGGAACTGCACTTGTTCCAGAGTGAAATTTGGGTTTTGAAATGGTTCATTAATGTTGAATGGTGATGTAGTCAAATTATTTGAGTTCAAATACAGGATACTGAAGGGTCCGATGGCAACAACAGACCAGATAGCATAATTTTTCTTTGTTCCTTTAATGCCACGGATGGTATTTAGACATGAAGAGAGAACATCTTCTGTTGCATTATACAACATATCAAACTCATCAATGAATATAACAACACGATTCTCCCATTTGCTCTTCTGAAACACTATATTGAAATCATTAGCAGACTTGATGCTATTGAGTTTAATGTATTTGGAAGCATCAAGATGAATTTGAGTGCCAAATGTCTCCCAGAAATTGTCTACACTTTTAATGTTAATCTGTTCAAGAGATACACTGATCCAGATAGAAAAAGAGACAGTATAAGTGAAGAAAATAGAGACAATAGTTAGATTTCATGCAACAGGACCAGTTGGTTAAATGAGAATCGGAACTTACTAAATGCAAACGTAGCCTTCATTGTTCAACTGCTTCTGAATTTGGTGTACCCGCGTAGACTTGCCAAATGCTCTAGCTCCATGTAGAGCCACAAATTGACCTTCATGAATCTTCTCAAGAAGTGGACGACTCTTTTCTGTTGGATTTACAAAGTATACAGAGTGAACTATACTTGGTTCAATGGCACCATTTACTTCCCATCTCCTTTTATTCGGCTTAGTGATCGTAACTGATCAAACAAAAAATTAGTGAGTAAAAGAACAAGGCATTATGAATGATGTAGAGCAAAGCCAACTCTAAATAATCTTACATTCTTCCTCTGCCTTCCTTTTTTTCTCATGCTCTATTATTAGCAAGGCAAAAGTTAATAAATGAAATTATTGCAAAGAAAGCAGTATAGGTTTAGAATATTAGAATGCAGTCATAATACTTACCTTGCCCTTCATCTTGGAGCTTTTTAATGAAATTTACAATGTCTTGTGCTGGCCCATATGGTAATTCAAAGGGACCTGGTTTTTGAATAAGAATTTCCATGGTTAAGGAAAGAAAGGAACCACCAGTAACTCTATTTTTCCTGATTGCTTCAAAATCATCCTCTATAAGGTTTAAGCCTTGTTTACATAAAAAATCAATTAGTTCCTTTGTATTCCATCCTTCTACGACATTGGTTGCAGGGAGATAAATTTTCCCTCCAGCAGAAGTACTTATAGAAGTAGACATGTTTGTTTATTACTTGAATAAAAATAGTAATGCGGTTTGTACAGATTAAAAGAGAAATGATTTTTTCAATCAGATCCGCATGCAGAATTTCCATGATCTTCCATGTCGTACACATTTAAATTCTAAAAATAATTAAAATGTCGTACAACATACAGATTATCTGATCGATTATCGAGGAGCAGGAGAGACCGTTCTGGAACACAAACTTTTAACCCACGCAATTTGGTGATTGACCAATCAAAATCGTGAATTTGATAACGTAGAAATAAATATTAATAATAATATGGGTTTGATTCATTTTGTCAACAATCACCTCACCAACAATTATTTCGTTAACGAATCTAAGAAGTTGGAAGCAACCACGCGACAAACCATTGAAACAGTCTAATAAATTAAATCGCACTACTCGAAAATGTATTATAAAGTGTTTATGTAATTAAAGCTAATCAAATTTGGTTGATCGTGGCTACGTTTAATTTGATTTCTCGTGCGAGTATGCTGAATGTAAATCTACTTTATTGTTGATTCAAGTTATAAATACTAGCGCCAATGACAACAATAAATGTAATATTATATTACTTTATTACCTGCAATTTTTTTATCATCATCAAAAATGTCGTCGATTCTATTCATGATCAGATTGGTAAAAATCACCACAAAAACTAATGAAACAGTATCTGGCGAGGTGGTGTTTTGGTTAAATGAGAGAATTTGGTTATTTAGAATTTAATATGTTTAATGAATATTTATTTCATGATATAATTAAAGATTTGCATATATTTGTTCGTGGGATCTTTTTTCTGATGCCAAAATTAAAGTAGTCAATCATTAATGATGAATTAATTATATCCTCTCTCATATTTATCTATAATGACAATAATGGGACTTACTTCACTTCACTCTCAGTTGGGTTCAAATTCACTATCTGAATCTGTTTTTGCTTCTGAATCATCATCATTTTCATATATATCTAAAAATGACCAACTGCCATCTTTATGAAATCCTTCTACATCTTGATTAATACTTCTCATTATTTGTGCCCAATTCAAATTTGGTGTTCTTTCATAATATACAATTTTTATTGAATCTAGCCATTCTTTTACAACTTTTAATTGATATATTGGAATAGTATTGGTATGTGTTGGTGGTTGTGAATAATCTTTAAAAACTAATACCATATCAAAATTATCTAAACAATATTGTATTCTTTCTAAATTTACTATTTCTATATCAGCCATTGTTATAACTAAGAAGGGTGAACTAACTAAATGAACAAGACAGTTAGTGGTTGGTTGTAATAATATTCTCCTTCTAAATTGAGTACCCAAGAATCTAACATTTCTGAAAACATCAGCAGTAATGCAACTCTAAAAATAAATAAAGTAAAAACAAAAATGAATAATTTATATATTTCATTTAGTCCTTGTAAATAACACTTACACATATTTTAATATTATTAGTAAAAGTCATAAATTCTTTATTAATTGATTTTCTTGTTTCTTGTTCTTCAACTAACTACTCTTCTTCTTCTTCCTCAACTTCTTCATACAATCTTTTTATTTCTTCTGGCTCATCTAAGGTTTCTGGTCCAAACTGTTTTCTCAAAGCCCAAACTAGTTTGGGCAATTTGGGCTTCTCAACATTTTCTATAAGCATCAACATTAAAAAACTATATGAATCAACTTGTTTTAACTTAACAATTTCGGCTAATAACAAAAAGTAGTTTGGGCTTATAAAAAAATAATTTTTGCCCAAAGTATTTGGGCAATTTCGGCTACTAATAGAAGCAGTTTCGACCAGAAACCTTAGGCTCATCAACATGCAATTCATCAGTCTTGACATTTTTAATATTAGTAACTTTCTTTATAAATTGAATGTTCTAAAAAAAAAAAATTTGAAAAAAATTTTATTATGGAATAAAAAAAACAGATAAAGCATGATTTATAATGATCTTTGATTAAAAAAAAATACAGTTATTGATTCCCTTTCCCCAAATTTAACCGGATTTTTCAAATGAAGATGTAAGATTACAATCATCTGATCATCATTTTCAGAAGGTTTGAAAAAATATATGTTTGATATTATTAAACATAATAACTAAATAAAAAACTTATTAGCATTAATATAATTAATGGTAATTATTGCAGGAATTCATTGACATGCATGATAGTTATTAAATTATTACCAAGCTCTTGATCATTATCAACAGAATAGTAATGAAGACCATTAATATGGATGCTTAAATTGCCAATTATTTCTTTTCTTCCAAATTTAGGTCTTATAAATATTCCTAACAATTTATAGCCAGGTCTTGTATCTATTAAAAATATATATAATTAAATATATCTACATATAAATTTTTTAAAGATAATGAAGAATCAAACTACTACTCACAATAGTCAAAAATGAACTTGTCTTGTTTGACTAATTCTGCTAATTCTCCCAATCGTATCTCCCTGAAAAATATTAAATAAATAAAGTTTTTCATATTTATATCTTTTTTAATAAATTATTTTTTTAAAAAAATATAATTGCAAACATTTTTATGTATATACCTAGAGTAATGACGAGTGGCGACCACCACCACCATCCTTAAAACACTTACACTTTCGGTTCTCTCTTATTATTTTCTGCATTTCTTTTAATTTTGTTTTATTAAAAAAAAAGAAAAAAGAAAAGATAATTAGATAACTAGAATGACCATTCTTTTTTAACAGTAATAACTAGAGTGACGACAAGTGGCAGGCGATAACCACCATCACCATCCTTAAAACACTTACCCAGCAAAATCGGCTATTTCCTTTCCTTTGGTTCTGCTTTTAGTGTTGTGTTTTTGAGGCATTCTTTAACTTTAGAATCCGAAAAAAGTTTGTAATATGATCGACGCGTACACACTAATTATTTATCCTATTGGTTTTTTTTTTGGTAGGACAGACGCGAATTGATTTTTTT